CGCGGGATGACGCCGGAGGAGTTCGTGCTCATTAAGTGGTGCGTTCTCTAAATACTGCTTTCTTGGTGGGCGGGACACTGATCAGACTTGCAGCTTCGACACGAAGGACGATGGCACGACGGCAACTTTCACGCCTCACACCGCATTCCAGGACCCGACAACGCCGAAGGACGCGCCGCTGCGCGAATCCATTGAGCTTCGTCTTCTGGTGTTCTACGACTAAGAGCTACGATGTCACGATTATCATGCCTGCCACGCCACTCTTGTAACTTACCTACTGTACACCCCACCCACGTTGTTGTTATCGCTTTGAATCTCACGCAAGGTTAACCTGTTCGTACCCCCCGATGCACGCGCATGCGGTGCTGAGCCGCCGGAAGTCCGGCGAGAGCCACCATGGCAGGCTGGAAGAGGTATTTGCACGTGCGCTCGAGTTTGGCAGAACGAAAGCGATCGCGTAGAACACCGCCCCAGGCCGCCATCTATTCGTACATGCTCTAAATCCCATCCTACCCGAGACTGCACGGCAAAACTTACTCATACAATACTCACGCTCCAATAAAGCATCTGTGTACGGCGCAAGTCGACGGGTGCCTGTGCTCCCAACGCCCCCTCCAACTTCGCCTCGACGATCACCCTGTTCGCGAACTCCTCGCCCTCCACTTCCGCAAACACTCTCTTCCAGAGGCACCGCCAGGACGACTCGGAATGGCCATAGCGCTTCCTGTTCTCCGGGAAGTTAGCGCTGCGTCCACCGCTGTCGTCAAAGCGAGACTTGAGGCGGCGCACCGTCCTAGATGATCGTCGATGTATCCCTCCTCCGGTAGACCCGCGTGTCGGCCAAATACCACTGCACCCGGACGGCGCTTCAGGAGTGTCACGAGCCGCACAGCCAGCTCATACTGCGTCTCCTCATCGAACAGATGGAACAGCGCGCCCGTGTAGATGTGCGTGAGCGCGCCGCGCACCTGCCCCAAGTCCGAAACGGCCGCCGGGTCGGGCACCGCGGCGATGGAGTCGGCGCTCGACTCGGAGGGGAGTGGGAGGTCGAAGACGTTGGAGGTAAAGAAGCGGATGGGGCATGTGGCGGCGTCGCCGAAGAGCTCGTGGCCGAGCTGGATGTACTCGGGGCGGAGGTCGCAGCCGAGGACCTGCGATGCGGGGTAGCCGTCGCGGACGAGCTTGCGCACGTCTGTTCCCACTTGCGAGGCAACGATTAGCTGCGTCGAAGCGATTAGATGCATACTGGTGGAGACACGTACTGCAGCATCCGAGGTCCAGGAACAGGCTGGAGCTGTCGCTTTTTCCTGCAGCGAGCACGGAGGGGTATATGGAGTTTTTACCTATCATCAAGCTGACGAAATGGAATGCACAGATGCATGGGTACGGATATTTCTCGCTGTGCGTCGGTTTGAAAGGCATATCAGTTCAGCGTTGCTTCAGGGCCCTGATATCCAAAGGCTTACTATGCTCTGCAGACATGCCAATGGTCAGTAAATACAAGCCACATGCTGCGTGCAAACGTGATCGCAGAGGACCTACCGCTTCTGCACGTCGTATATGCGCGCATTGAGCACCTCCTCATCTTCCGTTATCGCAGCACGAAGGAAGGCGTGCTCTTCGTCAGAGAGGTGAAGCAGGGCAGGGTCAAGCGGTGGGATGACAGAGGGCTCGACCTGTCCCTCTGGATTGACCATAGTGTTGCTCGATGTTCAGATGCAACGTGTAGTTCGAGAGACATCCCGATGCTGTGGAGCTGTCATCCAAAGCCTGTGAGAATAGTAGTTGTCGTAATATCGATAAGTCGCGCGACATAGACCCGGGTATTTGAACGCTGAGACGTTCAACAGTCCTGCGCGGCCCCCAGGTAATGTCCCCCGTAGCACTGAGCTTATTTATACATAGAGCGGCCTGGAATTCGACCATGTATCTGTGCAAATATTTGAGTGAATGGGTGCTGCACCTACGCGCAAGGTTGTGGACGGGCTACAGAGGCAGCCTTAGCGCTTAACCCAGCTGTCTACGGGCGCTTGTCCATGCGGACTGGCTTGCTTTCTCGCCACGATGTACGACGTCACATACAAGCAAGCTCTGACATGTAGGTCAGTGTGTTTGCATCCAGCACATATTATGGGGACTGAAATATGCATCGATATCAGGTACACTATGACCCGTAGCGTCTTCTCTAAGCAGCGCTACGGGCACGTTGTATCAATACGCAGTACGGATCACTACGTTTCAGACAAGAATTCGAACTCTGGCGGCGTTTGTAGCGAACGCCTCCAGTCGCCTGGGTTGTCTAATAATACACGTCCACGCTAACTCCGCACATGAGTAGGACATATACAGGATCTATATCCGCTGTGCTGATCGCGCGGGCCTCAAGAATAGCAGTAGCAAATGCTACTGCCGACGTCTGGGTCACCAGATCCGTCTCCTCTCCGGGCGCGGCCATATGCTCGCCATGTCAAGATGTCTACGCGCAACTTTGTACGACAGCGCGGTTCGCCCGGGCGTGGCACGATTCTGCCGGTTGGCGCACACAATGGCGGACGGCGCCTCGGCACCTGGCACGAACGTGCGTGGTCATCGCAGTCTTACATCAAGAGCTTGAGCAACGGGGGTCTCTATTGGCCTGTCAACCGCATGGAGCCTCTCCGTACGTATATAAGTGGGGGTGATGCGAAAGGCCAGGGCGCCGATCCCACCGACGAGGATGCAGGCAATCATGCGCGTTCTGACCCTCACGGCAGTGCTCTCAGTGCAGGCAGGGATTTCCCTTGGGCGTCCGTTTGGGCAACATTTGCCTCGCGCTGCCACGGAACCCAACCCGTCCTTCTTCGTGAACGTCTCCTTGAATGGGAAGCAGTACGTTAACAAGGTGTGTGGCACGATTTACGGTTCAAACGTGCGGCGACGCTGATCTTCTGTGGATCCAGGGTCTGGTCGCCTTCGGCTTGATACCATCGAACTTTGTCGAATCGACAGGTGCGTAATCTCCGCGTAACGCTCGTCCGCTGCGATCTCATAGTGGGCTAGGTGATACGCTGGGAGGTATTGGCAGTGCTATTGCGCTCAAAAGAGGATCGTTTGCCCAGCTTTCGAATGGTTCATTCACGGGTACGATCGTCGCCCAGCCCGACAGAGGCTTTAATATGTAAAAGTTCCAGTAAATGGTCTTCCTACGCGCTTCACTAACAGATTCTCCCACAGCGACGGAACGATCGACTATCAAGCACGGCAACACCAGATCGACTTCGTGCTGTCGCCCTATTATGACGCAGATAATCTCGATTTCGCGGACGGGCTGAAGACGCTCCAGCTCACGTATAGGGATACCCTGTTGTATACGGAACGAGAATCCCAGAAGACGACCGGCCTGGACGCCCTGGGAGTGCGTCAGGCAGAGACGCTCAGTCCCCCTGCGATCAACGACCCTGTTATGCCAATCGCCCCATCCAATGGTCATCTCGCTGTGGATGCGGAAGGTCTCGCGCTTAACGCGGATGGGACGTATGTACACATGCCTCTCAGTGTTTACCTGCTGCTCATATTACACGACTGTGCAGGTTCTGGGTCAGTGAGGAATATGGGCCGTACATCTATCTGATGTCCGCTGAGGGCCAACTCCTCGAGACGATACAACCGCCCGAAGCGATTCTTCCTCTCATCGACGGCGCGCTGAACTTTACGTCGGACACGGATCCCGACACCGGACGTGCCGGAAACCAGGGTGGGTAGTTCATGCTACTTGTCTTCACGTGTTCAAAGCTGACGATATGCGCGCAGGCTTCGAAGGACTTACGTTGGATGATACGGGGGATACACTCTACGCGCTTCTCCAGTCCGCGACGATCCAAGACGGCGGCTCGGACAAGTCTACGTCTCGCTTTACGCGTCTGTTAGCATACGACGTATCGAATGCGCTCACTGCACGCCCGTCGCTGATCGGCGAATGGGTCGTACCCCTGCCCCAGAATAAGAAGGGCAACACCCTCGCCGCCAGCGAGGTGCACTTTGTGAGCGAGGGCGTCTTCCTCGTCCTGTCCCGCGACGGCGACGGGCATGGCGGAGATGACAACAATTCGGCGTTCAAGTGAGCCCAATACTGCTCCTTTTTGTAACATGTACCGACCTACACCATAGGCAAGCGGACCTCCTCGACATATCGAATGCGACGGATATTCATGGGACCGATTTCGACGACCCGAGCAACCCCATCGCCAAGAAGGGCAAGTTGGACAAGAGTATCACGCCGGGAACATACGTCAACTTCGTTGACTTCATCGACGACACGCAGCTAGCTCGTTTCGGTGTCCATAACGGTCAGTCATCCCTGTCATTTTACATCTGTATCATCTCATGCTCCCTATCCAGGCAAACCGGCTGATCAGACCCTCATCGACGCGAAGTGGGAGTCTCTTGCGCTCGCACCCTGCCTGGACCCTGCCTTCCCAGACGACTTCTTCCTCTTCACGGCGGTATGTCGCATCCCTCAGACTCCCCGCTAGGTCAGATCGCTGATATCTCGTTGTCAGGCGGACAACGACTTCATCAGCACGCAGGGGATTGCACTAGGCGTGCCATTCAATGCGGGGTTGGACAACGACAACCAGTTCATGGTGTTCCGTGTGACGCTCCCTGGCGCATCGGCTACCAGTGTCCTACAATCTTAGCTTGTCATTTGAACACATCTATACCATCCGCTAAACGTTTATTGACGCCCTGTATGGTTATTCACACACCTGTCGCTACCCACCGACGGCGACACTTCAGTTGTCGTGGAGGCGAAAAAAGGTGCTCTATCCGGGATCGAACCAGTGACTTTGAGCTTAAGTTTGGGATGAGCTTGAGCTTAAGTTTGGGATGAGCTTGAGCTTAAGTTTGGGATGAGCTTGAGCTTAAGTTTGGGATCCCTCCTGGTCCAGCAATATTGTGCGGCACAGAGAGGAGGAGCGCAAAAAAAACTGCTTCGAACTGGGATCGAACCAGTGCAAAAATCCCTCGAATCGGGATCGAACCAATGACCTTGAGATGACCGGAGGTAACCATTACAGTCTCACGCTCTTCCAACTGAGCTATCGAGGGCTTGCTATGGTAAGTTTAACACTAAATATATCAGGCCGCAAATGGTCTGATGATCCCGAGCGGACCGGCTTCCCCGACGGTACCATACAGCTTCGCGCGCGGATGGAGCAGCGCGTTTGCAGCTTGAACACAGCCGCGAGGATGCTCTGGCGCTCGCTCGCATTCGTGTCGTGTGCAGGTTTCGTCTACTCATCCTCGCCATCTACGAATGAACAGCAGCTGTTCGTGGCCCCCAATGGTCCTAGCCAAGGCTTCCTTAAAAGATATGCCTTCCCGCGACTCCAGGGCTTGCGCCCAGAGGACCTACTCGAACAGGCACAGGTCGGCGTTCTAGCTTCATTATTCATCTACCCAAGACACACTGACATTGTCGTACTCCTCAGGCTTCAGACGCTACCGTATGGGCTGTAGGTCCATCTCATGTGGACGTTGTCTTCCAGAATCCTGGTCAGCCATGGGACCTCCCCTACTCGGAAGTAGGCTCGCTACGGCTTAATAGCCTGGACGACTTGCACGGCTATACTGGCCACTGGGACCTTGGATCCCTGTCCAACTCGACGTACCACTCCGTCTACCACCCGCTATACGAGATAAAGGGCTTCGTGGAAACGGCAGCACGCACACACCCAGACCTCGTCCAGCTCGTGGACCTAGGGCACTCCGCCGAGGGCAGAGAAATGACCGCCATGCGCATCTCCCGGAGCGACGACGGACTACGAGGGACATCAAGGAAAGAGAAGGTCGGGTTCGTCATTACGGGCGCCCAGCACGCTCGCGAGGTCAGCACGCCCGACCGTGCCAGCCGTCGTGCGGCACTCACCTTCACACGCGCAGTGGATAGCGACGTCAACGGCTCTGTACCTCACACATGCCCTGCTTGCCGACGAAGCCGAAGACTTCGGCCTGTCTTCCTGGCTGGATTACTTTGTGAGCATATCCGGCACTGGACCACCACCATAGTATTAACGGCTAGACTGTAGGACTTCTACATTATTCCGGTACCCAACCCGGATGGCTATGTTTACACCTGGAATCAAGACCGACTTTGGTGAGGCAGGCCCACTGCGCTTGTTTCGAGGATTATACTGAACTAGTTTGGCTAGGTACAAAAACAGGCAGATCGTCGGCCCGGCAGAGAAGTGCGTAGGAGTCGATATGAACAGGTGCGTGCGCTCCACATGTGGCTTATAAGCTAGAAATAGACCGCTTTTGCAGGAATTGGGTACGTCTGAGCAGTGTGTAGCGCATCATTCGTGTTCCGACCTCTCTCCAGGGCCACAAGTGGAAATCAAAATCCCACCTGCCCTCGCTCACGGGAGACACGAACGCGACGGTGTCCTCCAAAACAAGAGAGGCTGATCCCTGCTCACCGTGGTACCCAGGGCACCGTCCGTTCGAGGCCCCGGAGGTTAACAATATCGCGAACTTCATCACGACGCTTCCCTCGCTTAAGGCCTATGTCGACCTCCGGAGCTACGGCCAAATGTGTGCGTGTTGTTTCCAGCTCGTGCAGTAACACGAAACAAGGCTAAGGGTGCGGCGTAGTGTCGACGCCGTTCTCGTATTCGTGTAAGAAGTACCCGAAGGACGCGGAGGACCTGCTGGAGGCCGCGCTCGGTGCTGCCCACGCGATCAAACAGATCCACGGCACCCCGTTCACTGTAAGCCTGCCCACAGCAGTCGTGTAACATCTGCTCATCAGCGTGGCAGACCGGCAGCCTGTGCGAGCAGTTGTACAAGTGCGCCCCCTATGATTCTCGCCTAGAGCGAGCTTGCGAGCTGAACGTGCCCCTTGCAGAGCGTCCGGGAACGTCGTCGACTACATGTACGCCAAGGCAGGCATCAAGTTCTCGTACTCTGTCCATCTGCGCGACACCGGCACGGTACGCTCGTCTGCCTCGTGTGCAAATCATAAAGCTCACGCTGTTCGTAGTACGGCTTTTCTCTCCCCGCACAATGGATCAGGCCAGTCGGCGAGGAGACGTCGAGCATGATCAGCTTCCTCGCCGGCTTCATTTCTGGCCGCAACAAGAAAGGTGCGAAGACTCTGTCTTCCCTTGAGCACGCAGCCCACTCATCTCCACACCGGTCGCCAGTGTAACGGCATCTGTTCGGTCTGGCTATGTCTGTACAGTCCTGCTTCCGATATCTTCCGAGCGTGCAATGTGCGTATGTACGAATATATAACTCGCAGAGTCAACACACAGCCCGGTGAGAGAGCGGAAGAGTTTCGTCCAAGATTCGTCCGCAGAGAAAGAGAGGTGTTGGTATATTGAGACTGTACAACTGGCGCGATCTATGCGCGAACACAGCACGTATCGACAAGTATGGGACTGGGGATGGTGGGGATGGGGGATGGGAGAGGATGAGTATATGCGCGGGCTAATAATGCAACAGGTGCGGGGCGGGGGCCCGTCCGAACGTCCGTGGAAATAGTAGATGCATGCTACATAGTTAGGAAAGATAATCACAGAAAAGCAGCGGGCCCGGGCGTGTCCGTCTGCGCGCGGGGCGTCGTCGTGTGCGCACAGCAGACTGCAGCAGCCCGTCCTCTCGTCGTCGTCATAACGTCAGGGAGACATCATTCATGCGAACTCGCGCCCGAGCGCGCTCCGCCGCCGCTCGTCGCTCGAGTTGATCTCGGGGTCCATGCGTCCAATAACCTCCTCTGACGCGATGCTGAACCCGCTCCGCACGCTCCCAGTCGACCCCATCCGTGGGCGCACGTAGTTCGGCGGGAGCCCCACCACGTCCGGCAGCCCAGATAGCGCAGCCGCGCGCGGACCCTCCAGCGGACCGTCGCGCCTGACACTCCCCGCGTAAGCTATGGGGTCGAGCGGCGCGCGCCGCGAGCTCGAACCCCGCTCCGTCGTAGTTGACACCGGGCTCCTGTTCCCGCTCGACTTGCGTGGGCCAAACTGCAATGACTCAAGGAAGTTCTCGTTCATCGCGCGCAATCGTTCGTCGACCTCGCCCTCCGTCGCGAGCATCGGGAATGGCGCCGAGACCGTACGTGCGCGTGTGGGGGCAAGAGGGGCGACGTCGCGGTCGCTCGACTCGGACTCCTCACGGATGGTGTGCTCGCGTGCATGGTACGGAGGGCTCGGTGCGGGCGAGTCGTCGCGCCCGGACAGCGGTTTGCGCGCATCGATGTCCTGCACGAACGTCGAGATGTCGTCATCGTCCGTGTGTGTGCTCAGGTATGACGTGCCCTGTGCGCGCGTACATTAAGATTTGACGATCCCAGAACGTCAGAGGGATCGACTTACCGGGACCTTCTCCAGCTCCTTCGCTGCACCCCTAGGACTACTGCGCGGACTGGCCTCCCGACTTACAGGCGTCCCGGGCACGCGAGGACCAAAGCTGCTTGTGTATCTGCGGCCTTGCTGTCGAGGTGAGCCTTGCAAACCCCCTGAGGCAGGGCTAGCAGGTACACCCTCCCCTGAGGCTGGAGAACGCCCTGAGCCCAGGCTCGAAGGCGCGAAGGTCGGGGAGGGTCGGAATGGGGTGACAGGGGAAGACGTGAAGTTGCTCCCAGCACCTATGGGAGATGGAGGCACACGGGAGGCCGTGGGTGACTGGGCTGGACGCGACGGAAGTGACGGGCCGCCCGTCGTAAGTGGAGACTGCTGCCGCAGCGACGGTGACGGTGAACCGGAAGAGATCGTAGACGACTTAAACGGGTTCACCGTCGTAATTGTGCGGCGGATGGGTACGCCGCCGGCGGTCGCGCCGTCTTGCTATAGGGGCGTCAGTGATCGCATATACCCCAACTAATAACGTTGCATACCGAGCTTCTACCATGCAAGCTCTCGCGTCGTACGCGAGCAGCGAGCGCGGACACATCCTCACGCGACCCTAAAGAGGCCGCACCTTGCCTTGACGAAGACGAGTCTGACACACCAGACGTGCCCATGCCCGCCCCAGATAGATTGCGTGTGACTGGGAGTGCAATATTGCCCAGCCGCGGGCTTCCGCTGGGACTTCCTCGAAGACCTTGCGTCGAGGAGAATGATGTCGTGCGTGTATGTGTCGGCGGTATCACAAATCTCTCCGCAACAGATCGTGGCGGAGAGCGAGGGAGGGAAGTGCGCAGGGCCAAGCTCCCGGGCGAGCCCGATATGCTGTCGCGCTGCTGATTCTTCACTAAGGTCGGCGTGAAGTCTGGACCCTCTGAGAGGAACCGCGAAGATAGCAGCGACTCCTTCGTGTCTAGCTGGAAGTTGGGGTGCAGCAGGTAGGTCGCTGAGACTCCCAGCTCGCCCATGGGGTGCGTTATAGGGGGCAGTACATGCCTCTCCCTCTTCAGTACTGATGCCGCAGACGCGGGGGTGGTATCTGGTTTTCGAAGCCTCGGTTAGCGGCCATTGTTCACGCGCGCCCACCCGCGACAAGGGATGTGGGCACAAGTGGACAAGTGACTCACCGAAGGTCATAATCTCATCAGGCCGAATGCTTCCATCGACGCTGTCCACACGCAGACGTATGCTGAAGTTCCCATTGCGGTTGCCGCCCACCCGTCTGCGCAGCCGCCGCGCGAGCTTCCAGGTGGGCAGCACACGGAGCAACGTAAATATGCTTCGGAAGAGCGGGATGCCGTGCTTGTATATGGTCGACGGCGCGACGTCTGTACGATCGTCGCTGTGCTGCGCCCCTGCACGGTGCGGGGCGAACTCGAGGTCCCAGGCCTCGAGCACGATGAAGCGCGGGGTGGGGTCGATGCGCACGCGCGACGAGTCAGGGGCGGTGTAGACGAGAACTTGGTTCGTAGCTAGCTCGGGGATACATAGGAGGACTTGGAGCTGGAAGAGGGGGACGGAGGGCGAGGTCGAGATAGAGCGATAGATACGGGTGTGATCCTTGAACAGCTCCGGGTCTGGGGTCTCCAGGTTGAACTGGGCACGGAGGTGGTGTTATAGAGTGATCTAGAGGGTGGGTAGGGGAGCACTCACCCACTTGTCAACCTTTGCGTTGGGCGGGGGCTCGATGGTGGCTCGTGC